TAGTGATGGCAAAAAAAATTCATTGTTCGATTATTTAATCATATGATTTATTTTAGGTGCTTTAACGATTAATTGCAATTAACCGCTGAAAAATGAAAAAATCGATTAATCAAATGATTTTTTTTTAATGCGCTTATTATTTTTTTTATTTATTTTTTATGAACTCCTTTTAGAAGCAATAATAGCAACAAGAACAGTAAAGAATATACATAAATGTTTATTTATTTAAAATTGAGTTAAGAAATAGTAGTTGTGAAAGGTGCTCTGTTGTTAACCTGTTCCTTTTTTCGGTTAATGTGGCACCCGCCTTGGAAAAAAGACGTTCCGCTGGTACCGAAGTGCCTATTAAGAAACAATACCGACAAGCTATAACATATAGCTTAGGGTATGCAGTACGCATCTCCTCCCAGGCGTTGGCGACATTACGCTTCAAATCAAAAACAGGAGCATTTAAAAAAAGACTGAGCTCGTCTTGAATTTGAAAATGGTTACCGTCTTTCTTACTGGTTTTGTGGGCCAGTGTCTTGTGGTGGGTCCATAAATCGAACTCAACTTCGCTAATAGATGAGCCGTCACTAGTGCTTCCTAAACTTTCATTTATATCTGAAAGCTCCGCCATTTCTTGTCGTATGCGCTTCATAGCCGAAGCCAAGGCAGTATGATCCTGAAAATGCATCCTTTTGAAGCGAGGATCCAGCAACGTTGATGCAGCCAATAAATACGACTGTTCCATGGTACCAAATCGACGATCGAACTGCGCAATTATAGCTGCTTGGAGCTTTTCCGCCGTTGGTGACTTGCAATTTACCATCATTATTTTTTGGCGTCCGCAATGGACAATCGGTATAACAAGGCTCAAAGTAGCGTATTTCTCACCGCTTATCTGAGTGGTCATGGCTTCCAGTGGCTTAAGCAAAGTAAGAATTTCTGTAATGTCATCTTTATCTCTCGTTGATATCATTTGCGGGGCATCTGAAAAATTCAAAACCACTTGGCCGATGTAATAAATCAACTGAACGAAGCGTTCCAACATATAAAATGTTGAGTTCCACCGTGTTTTCACATCCAAAAGAACTTTTAAAACATTTGYCTTTGGGACGCCAGCAGAAAGCTGCAACTGTTGCAAGTTCTCTTTGGATTTTCCACTGCGTCTTAGCCAAACYACTATGTTACGGCATTTGGTAATTAATTCCGATGCTTCCTTTATATCCAAAGCATTCGTGCACACTAAATTTAAAGTATGCGCAAAGCATGGAAGATGTTGGGACTTTCCAAAGCTTTGATGTATTGCTTTAACAATATTTGCGCCATTATCTGTCACCACTGCCGTAACCTGGTTTTTTGAAATTSAAAACTTTTCCAACGCCGTCAATAGTACCTCAGAGATATGCTCAGCAGTATGGGCTTCATATAATTTAAAAACTCCAATTGTAGCTGATATTTGCTTCTTTTCAAACAAACCATGAACAGTTACGCCAATCACACCGGTCAAATTTATGTCAGTCCATATATCTGTTGTTAGTGATAAGCCTGATATTTGACACACCATGTTTTTAAAAACTTGAGCCTGCTTTTCGTACATTTTTTGCATCTCAGCCTTGATTGTGTTCCTTGATGGCACTTTGTAAAGGGGATGATGATCCTTCATCCATTTTAAAAAACCATTTCCTAAATTTATTTTTAATATTAGTGAGACTGTCGTAATATTTATATATTATAAGACATAATTACCTTCCACGTGGGAAAATGGCAAATTATCCATTGCAAGCATCTCGACAATTGACTTTGTCATCTCGGTATGCTTGGCGCCACCCGATGCAAAGCTATGCACGTTTAGAAATGCAGATTGAATGCTTTGCTGCGAATGCACTTTTGGTTGCGAGATTGTGCTGATCATTTCATTGTTGTCCCCCTCAAGTTCAGAATGTTCATAGCCGATTTTTGGGAGCTTAATATTGTTAAATTTAAGTATTTTCATTATTATAGACAACTGAAAACTCACCTTGAGGGACGCGAACTCTTTCGTATGTTTCAGTTTTAAGTGCTGAAACATATTGGTTGTATTTTTACAATACTTCAATTGTTTTTGGCACAATTGNCCGACCTCATTCAACTCGTCGCCACTGGGATTAAGCATAGAGGGATCTTTTGTTCAACATTTGACCATCTCGGTCGAGCGCATGAAGCGAAATGATTGTGCTTTCGTATATTTTCGTAGCCCGAACCTAAAACTGAAGAGACGAGCAAATACGAAATTGATAGGCCCTAGGAGACAGATTTTTCGGTGTTGAAAAACTTTGTACTACATGTCTAGTCTATGTGTTCTCTGGTCAGTGTAAATACCAATATACCATTAAAATACTTTTGAGCAAAATTAGAGCTGATAAAATACCAAAAAGTATTTAAAATACCATATTCGGTCACATAGACTATGTGTTCTCTGGTCAGTGGTGATACTAAGAAAACAATATCGATGTTTTCCAAAGTTCCAAAATATCGATTATAAGGATACCGATCCGATATTTTTGCAGCACTAATCAAGAATTGTTTTTGGGCTCTGACATAAGACGAAATAAAATTAATAATTTTTGCATTTATGAATTAAATAATTAGTATCATGTTACCGTCAATAACAATATGTATAATGCGACGTTTATTCGTAGCGAAGAGATTGCCCCGCCTGTTGCTAAATCGTTACATACGCAACATGCCGGCAATGCCGGCTAAGGTTTTTGTTGACTATGAGAATCAATACGCACACAGCATCTTGTCGGATTCTCTGAAGCCTTATCAGATTGTGCGCCCCAGCGATTGCTTGAAAGTAGCTTCAACTGATACTCAATGTGACACGCCTCCGCGTGTGCTGCAACCCGTAAAGAATGCGCGACCGGCTGAGTTATATGCGGATTTTCGGTCGCTGGTCCAGTACTGTGCGCGCACGTGCGTTCAAATCAGCGAGGACCGTTTTGATGACTTTATAACCTACTATTGCGAGGAAATACATAAGTTCAGCGATGAGCAGCTGTTGGGTACACTGCTTTGCCTACAACAGTTACCCACGCCAGCGTCCACAAAGGCTGCCAACTATATGGAGCTGTGGAACATACTGGACATCGAGTGCTGTCGCCGCATCGAACGGTGGCCAACTGCCCAACTGTTGTTGGTGAGCGATGCCTGGTATCAGCTTGGACTTGCACGCATTGGTGAATTTGTGTGGCTCGCGTTGCGTAGGCTTGGCCGCAAAGTGCGCAAGATGCCGCCGGAGCAACTGGTGCAGTCTATGTTTCTGTGTAATTTGCTGCGTCGGCCCGTGTTCGAGATGTTTGACTTTGAGGTAAATTTGGAGCAGTGCGTACAGCAAATGACGCTCAAGGAGCTGGGAGTCATGGCCATGGGCTTCTTCAAAACACAAACGCCCATTCGCAGTCCCCAGCTGCTGCAACAGCTGTACACTCGCCTATTAGCACAGCTGGATAATGTGGAAGACATCACGCTAGTCTCTATGCTCAAGGTTTTGCGCTACAGCAGCAAATTGCCACAAGTATCTGCACTTAATCAGCTTTTAGTGGCGCTGCAGCCGCAAGTGGAGCGCGTCTCGCTGCTGACCTGCTTGCACATGGCACTGCTTGGCTGCGAGCTGCAGACCTGCAATGATAAGCTTGTGGAGCGCATTTTGCTGCGCTTCGAGCGCGAACTAGATATGACCCGGCTTAAGGACTTGGAGCGCATTTGTCTGGTCATAGCACTGTTTAACATGAACACAGCTAGCGGCGTTGAATACCGTCTAGTCGACCGCTTTCCAGAATTGCTGCGAGGCCGCATTGATGAGATCTTGCGTTATCCCCGCTGCTACACCAACTGTCTGCAGTTTCTCAGCATGCGAGGCGTTTACGATGTTGAGCAACTGGGCGTGGCGTTGGAGCCACGCTTCCTGCGCCACACCTATCGTAGTGGCCTGCCAGGCCGCGAATATTTTCACCTAGATAGCTTTGCCCAGCTATTAGGCTCTGAGTATGAAGGGCCACGACTTACAGAACGGCAACGTCAGCAAATGGGTAAGCTGTATACACAATATATACCTGATCGCACAGATACTCGCTCGAAACTCAACAGCACAGATCGCATCCTCTTGGAGATTCGCGATGCTGTTGGCAGTCTGCTGCGGACCACAGTTAGTCTTAAACACGTTCTGCCCCACTACGATCGCTGTGATGCCATCGTTGGCTATGATCGACAACAGCAGCGCCCTGTGTCATTGAATGCTAGCACGTGTCCTAAGGACTACAGTGGCATCTTGCTCACACGACAGCACTTGCTTGGCTCCAAGGAGGCTCCACACATAGATACGTTGATAATTGTAGTCGCTGGATGGAATAATGTTATACGTGACAAGGAACGCTACACTGGACAGTTTGCCATGAAGCTAAAACAGCTACAGCAGCTGGGACACAAGCCAATCGTGGTAAGTGATTTCAAATGACTTCTGAATACTTACGAGGTACAGTCACTCATTCCATCTGATTGGACTGCTATCGCCAGTCTAGATCCATTCAAATATGATGATTATATATTCTTTCCGAAGTAAAGTTGGATAATTGATATGCAAGCCTTTAGCTTGGCTTGATAATAAAATTATTTTATTTTTGTACAAAAACATCGTATATAAAGTATCAAACTATTTGAAAAAACTCTTGTACCTCTTCACTCACAGATCCATTGGCACGAATGGCGGGAACTGGAAACATCAACGGATCAGCAGGACTTCTTAAAAAGACGTCTGTGCCAAGCGGCTAATATCTGATTGGCGACACGTTGAGTTGGCAGGGTGTGGACGCGCTCGATGATCGTGAATCGTTAATACTATTCTAATCATAGTATTAACAATAGAATTAGTTAATAATAGCAACAAAAAAGGCAACAACTCTGTAGTGGATAGATTTATAATAGAAATCCAGAAACATGGGCTAATTTATAATAACCGCCCGCGGTCACGCCCACCCCTGTCACGATTGCTATAAGTTACTGTGATAAAGTCCCATGTAAAGCCTTTTTAGTATATTCGTAGACAACGAACAGGGTGGCCGTAGCCGGAATGGTTCGCAGAACAGATGGCAACAGTCCACGATATAATGCCAATACGCCCTCGCGTTTGACAATGTCTGCACCGACAGTAAACATACCCTCATTTAGGTTTTTTACCTGTATACGACTTTTAATGACGTCAGCTGGGAATGTTGATGTCCATAAACAGACACCGCCAGTGGCCCCAGCGATCATTGTACGAACTGGGCCAATTTCGTCCTTTGTCTGATCCTTACTGTCAATTGTAAATATATTCAAACATATCTAAACTACAAATCATCAAATTTGTACTCACCTACGCAACAGCTCGCGTGTACCCTCATAGCTACCAAAGAAGAAGAAATATCCAGGCATTTCACGAACAAATGTAGAGCCCAAGCCTCGATAAAAGCCGCGTATGCCTGCAAAAAGAGAGAGAGAATGAGCATTACACAGATTAAAAGAGATCAGACTTAAAGAGCGTGATAGCTTGCCCATGAGCTGAAAATAACATGTTCAGAAAATAACAGTCGCTGGCTCGCACGTGAGGACAGTGGTCTATTAATAGACTTACTATATAGCCCCCATGTGGAGTAACCCTGGTCGTGACTTTCGTTATCTATGTATATGTAACTGCCAGCGTGCCTGACGCGAATGAGAATGCATACGCATTCGAATCACAATTTTGAAAGCTGAATCTAGACAGGGAATTTGCAAATCCGTCAATATACTATGCCTCATTCTGTCAAACAATCAAAGATACATAATTGTGTAAATTTCCATTCGACTGATGATAACAAGCAATATTTTTGTATGTACATACATATGAAGAACTGCAGATATTCATTGATTGTCGGATATTTAGCTCATCCACAAAGATTCAAATCGTCAATGTATGACCGACATTTATTTATACATATGTACCTACATACATGCATATCTATATAGTATATTAATAAATGAAACTAGGGAATGCTATGGCAAAATCCGAGCAGATTAAATATATAAATATATGTATGTACATATGTATCTAAAGAATCTTTTATTGAATACGTACATGTACATATGTATGTTTGAGGATTTGTATCATTCTTATTTCCTAAATTTTAATATATAAATATATTTTGTTTAGAAAAACAACGCAGATAAGGTATTACAGTTTTTTGCAACAAACGTACACTCGTGCTGTTATTCGGAAGTATTGAAAATACATACATAGTTTAAATCCTGCATGCGATTCCAGCGCACAAATTTCGAAAATGTTTTTCTTACTAAAGACAGTGGTCAGACGAAAGAAATAAGTTATTGGTGGAGAATGTTAAAAACATCCATATAGTTCAATTTAATTTTGTGGACATAAAAAAATTTATTATTGATGAAAGAAATGTTCTTTGCATATGTATGTATGTACATACATATGTTGGGAAAAATAGGCAGTGTGGAGAAGTATGAGTCAGGCAATCATGAATATAATAACAAATAAATATAAGGATGTATTCATATACATACATACATATGTACATATGTATATATGTATGTATATGTATGTTCTTCTTGTGGAATTAGTCCCAAGATAGTGTAATTATGCGGTTGAGACAATTGTTGCACAGCAAGCGAATAGAAACTACGCGATGGGAAATAATTGAAACAGTCTGGCAGCGCCGAACGTGCTGAAGTAAACAAACCTGCAGCTGATTTTTTGTTTTTTTTTTCTCTCGACAGCGTGTCTTTAGCACTTGCGATTGAATTTAAATATATACATACATACATATGTACATACCTACATATATTACGAAGAAACGGAGAGTAAAAGCAGCGAGATATGTGCTTAATCTAATCAACATTGTTGAAAAATAATCAAATAAATTATTAGCACTCACCTTCGGTCCGCCATATGTAACGTGTTAATGTCCAGGGAGTACGAATGTCTGCCGTGGGTTCCACGAAGTGCTTCATTTCGCGTAGCGCCTGCAACTTGCACTTGATCAGTTCAGTGGGACAGAGGGTGAGCGTAGAGAAGCAAGCGGCCAGTGAACCGGCGCATGCATTTTCCGTAGTGGTCAATTCGCTTGTCAATTCCTTATCCACGACGTAGGTGACGAACTTCTGGCAGCCACCGTATGCAGCGAAGAGCACCGAGTTTTCTGCCACATTCGCAAATACCGCCGGCAATGAGCCGGCATACAGACCCCGCATGACCCCATCTTTTCGGTAGGTGCTGAAAAAGCAATCCAGCATGCCCTTGTAAGCCTCTGGAAATGTTTGTAGCTTTACTTTGACAGTGTCTAATGGCTGCGAGACATAGACCTGAGCAGCGCCACCTAAAAGAATTCCATGTAACAAACATTACAAATAAGCAAATGTAAAATTGCCGCGAGCCCTGAGAACTCACCCAATGAGCCGGCCAAAAAGTCTATCAAGCCCCCGACGAAATTGGTGTTGTTACCGGTCGTGCCCCCATGCATGTCTAAATGTAAAATGAATCTTAAAATTTTGCCGACTATCAGCAAGAGTCTATCCCGAAGGGCGGTAGGCGCATTCCGAAGATTGAGCTTACGAAAGAGCCAACCGCGCTCTTCGGCTTTTACTCTCTTTCTCTCTTCCTCTTGCACAGTTTTTTCATAAGCCTCGGCAATTTGCTCTGGCGTCATTATCAGTATGTCGCTGCCTACTCTCGTGCTGCCAATATCGGGTGGCGACGTCGCCGACTGCGTTGCTTCAGCAGCGGAAAGCGAAACATTGTCTGTGTCGCTGTCGCTACTTTTAGTTGTCACTGTCGCTACTGAAGGGGTCGCTGCCGCCGCCGTCGCATCTGCCCCATTTTCATTGCTATTGTGCTCTGTTTGCGGCGTCGACGTCGCTACTACAATCTCCAACGGGGTCGGCGTCATATGTAATTGCTTGGTGTGGTCTCAAAAAATGTCTATTTGCTACTTCATTTATTGGATAGCAATTCCGTCATGATATTGCTCTTTCCTGTGTTCTCTCGCTGTAGCTCTTTCTCTCTCGCTCCTCCTCTCTTTCTGTCTCTCTGTCTCTCTCGTTTACTCTTTCTCTCTCTTTATCTTAAAAATGCCGTTCGGTTGCAGTTTCGCGCGGTTTGATATCGCAATCGTTTTTGACTCCAGCTTTTATCGTTCTTGTCGTTTGAATGCGCTGTTTGCTTGCTGAAATTGTCTCGTATGGTTTTGTAAATTCGCGATGTTGCCTCTCTATTAACTGTGCACTGCATATGAAAACAAAACTTGTGCATTTTGTTCAACAAAATTTAGAAGGAAATGCCAAAGTAATAAACATCATATCAATACAAACATATACGAATTTATAAATATATAAATACATACATATTTTATATACACATTTATGTATACTTACATATTATGTATACTTACATATATACTAATAATTTTAATGGAATTTGAATAAATTTTCAATGATTTCACCATATCAAAATTAAAAAATTAAAGTTGAATATAAAAGTTTCCTTTGAATTTGAAAGTAACAAAAAAATAAATGTATATAGTTCTCGTAGTTTATCAAATGAAATGTTTTCCATCAATTGTTAACTGGACTATTGTGTTACCTGAAGGATAATAGTTAATAAGTTTTGCCACTTAGTGAAAAGCACCATTTTGTATTATGGATAATTTATCAGATATATCAGTCAATCAGTAAGATAGAGTAATCTGGAAAAAATGGTACTTGTTGTTTAAAAGCGAAAGAAAGAAAAGAAGGGTGGTAGACCTTCTGTTTTCGATCAATTTAAACTAAATTTTGATCAAATTAATGAATTCGTTTTCATTCAAATATTTTCAATTTTATTAATAATCGATAATTTAATTACTGCACATGTAAATATCAATTGTTTTTATCAGCATTTTCAAGTTGCTTATCTCCAAATTAGCAGATCAGCTATACATATATGTTAAATACACGCACTCATATATAATACATATATATGTTTATATATTATAGCGTACAGTATTATTATTATTGGGATATCTGCATATAAA